CAGACGGATTCCGCTCGTTAGCGTTAACGAGAAATGCCCCCCCCCCCTTCCATTTGCGATGAGACACGGGTTCCTCCTCCCCGCCCTGCGCTGGCGAAAGGGACTCATTAATAAGGCTAATTAATGGAGATAATTAATCCTCGGCCGAATCCCTGCACACCTACCGGTGCCAGGAACTTTCTTCTCCCAAAATCTCGAGGCAGCTTCATCGGCCATGGGGACCCCGCCCTAATTAATTACCCAATTAATTAATGAATTAATCACACCAGCCAAGGAGGGGAGGCAGCGCTGATTAGGAGCCTCGTTGAAAGCCAAGGTCACCCAGGGAAGGGGGGGGTGGTGTCTAAAGCGGGTCTCTGGGGACGCGGTGACACGAGGACCTCGTGGAAGGTCCTTCGTGGGCATCTGGAGAAATAACAGGGAAACCTCGTTAGGACTAATTAGTCTTCTAATTAGCTGAGGGCCTGGGGGAGCTCAGGAAGGGAGCAGCTCTCCCTTTGACCTGGCGGTGCTATTTTGGGGACTGTCCCCAGATGTCCCCAGATGATGGAGTCCTCAAGGGACGTCAGCCCCTTGGGGACAGGTCCTGTTGTCCCTTAGGGTGACAAGTTCATGAAAACCTCATGGGAGACCTTGGGGGGAGGCGGGGGGACCCCCTGGGGACACCCAAGGACCTGTTGGCCAAGTGGTGACAACGTGGCCACAGGTGGCCACCACCACCAGCGGCACCCTGCTCTGTGCCAGGGACGGGTGACCACCACCGTGGGTGGCATCTGGACCTTGAAGATGGGGACATCTGCACTTGCAAGGGGTGTCTGTCCCCATTGGTGGCATCTGACCTTGGAGTTGGGGACAGACGCCCGTCCCCATGGGTGGCATCTGCACCAGGGATGGTGCCCGTCCCCATTGGTGGCATCTGACCTTGGAGATGGGTACAGCTGCCCCTCATGGGTGGCATCCCTCCGAGTTCCATGCCAGGCCCGTCCCCATCCCTGTCCCTTGTCCCCATCCCCGCTCCAGGGACCCCA